TTTTTTATTGGTGTTCCATTTACCAACATATAGAATAACACCCAGTGCTCATCCCATCAAGTGCCCCACTTAGTGTCTGTCACCCAGTCACTCCCACCCCCCGCCCACCTCCCTTTCTACCACCCCTAGTTTGTTTACTAGAATTAGGAGTCTCTCATGTTCTGTCTCCCTTTCTGATATTTCCCACTCATTTTTTCTCCTTTCCCCTTTATTCCCTTTCACTATTTTTTATATTCCGCAAATGAATGAGATCATATAATGATTGTCCTTCTCCGATTGAAAGGTATGTTTTCTATGTATAGAATTCTAGGTTGACAATATTTTTCCGTTTCAGTTATTTTAAAGATGTTGTGTCCATGTTTTCTAGATTTTATTATTTCTTATAAGAAATGTGATGTCATTCTGATCTTTGTTCCTATGTGTATAATAAGACTTTTTGCTCTGGATTCCTTTTTAAAAAATATTTATTCATGAGAGATACAGAGAGAGAGAGACAAAAACAGAGGCAGAGGGAGAGAGGGAGCCTGATGGAGGGACTTAATACCAGCACCTTGTGATCACCACATGTGCCAAGGCAGTCACTTAACTACTGAGCCTCTCAGGTGCCTACCCTTGGGTGCTTTTCTTGTTTTCTGTTTGTCATTGATTTTCAGTAATTTTATTAGGATATGTCTCGGTGTGTTCTTTTTCATGTTTTTTTTATGCTTTATATTTTCATTAAATTTGAAAAAAAAATTGGTTATTTCTTCAAACATATCTTGTTTTTCCCTGCTTCTCTACTCTTTATGGAATTCCAATTCTATGTGCATTAACCTTCCTGATATTGTCCCATAATGCATTGAGGGTTTGCTAATTTTTTAAAAAGATTTACTTATTTATTTGAGGTGGGGGAGAGGAGTAGAGGGAGAGAGAGAGAAAAAAAAACCCAAGCAGACTGCACTGAGTGTGGAGCCAGACATGGGACTTGATCTCACAACCCTGAGATCATGACCTGAGCTGAAATCCAAGTTGGACACTTAACTCATTGCACCACCCAGGGGATCCTACTCATTTTTTAAAGATTTTTATTTATTTATTCATGAGAGACACAGAGAGAGAAAGACAGAGACACAGGCAGAGAGAGAAGTAGGCTCCATGCAGGGAGCCAAATGTGGGACTCGACCCCAGGTCTCCAGGATCACGCCCTGGACTGAAGGCGGCATTAAACCGCTGAGCCACCTGGGCTGCCCACTCCTACTCATTTTTTAAAGTCTTTTTCCTCTGTTTCATTTTAGATATTTTCTATTTCTGTATTTTCAAGTTCACTAATCTTTTATTTTCCAGTTTCAACTTTGTCATATTTTAACTTCATGTATTTTTCATCTCTAGAATTTCAATTTAGGTCTTTTTTTATATCTTCCATATCTCTATTTGTCTACTTTCCTCTACCTTCTTGGACAGTATGGAGTGTATTTGTAATAGTTTCCTTAACATATTTGTCTACTGATTTTAATTATCTATTATTTCTGAGTCCATTTCCATTGATTAATTTTTCTCTTGGGTGTGGGCCATATTTTCCTGCTTTATTGTATCATTTATAATTCTTCTTAAGAAGTCAAGTTAAGGGGAACCTGGGTGGCTCAGCAGGTTGAGCAGCAGCTGACTTCTGCTCAGGTCATGATCTCAGGGTCCTGGGATCAAGCTCCGCCCACCCATGTAGAGCTCTGCACTCAATGAAGAATCTGTTTCTTCCTCTCCCTCTGCACCTCTCCTGCTCATGCTCACTCACTGTCTCTCAAATAAATAAATAAAATCTTGGGGCACCTGGGTGGCTTAGTCACTCAAGTGTCTGCCTCCAACTCAGGTCATGATTCTGGGATCCTGGGGTTAAGCCCCATGTTGGGCTCCCTGCTCAGTGGGGAATCTGGTTCTCCCTCTCTCTGCCCCTCCCCCCTGCTCATTCTCTCTCTCTTTGTCTCTCTCTGTCTCTCTGTCTCTCTCTCTCTCAAATAAATAAAATCTTTTAAAAAATGAAATCTTGGGCAGCCCCAGTGGCTCAGCAGTTTAGCGCTGCCTACAGCCCAGGGTGTGATCCTGGAGACCCGGGATCGAGTCCCAGGTCAGGCTCCCTGCATGGAGCCTGCTTCTCCCTTTGCCTGTGTCTCTGCCTCTCTCTCTCTCTCTCTCCCCTCTCTGTGTGTTCTCATGAATAAATAAATAAAATCTTTAAAAAAATGAAATCTTAAAAAAAATAAGGCAAGGTAAACAAATAGCTGAAGCATTTTATTTGTTCACAAGTAAGCTTGTTAACACTATATAATAAAAATCTACAAAGAATGATGTTGCAGTTTTTGGTTAGATTTGAAGTCAGACATTCATTAATAAGGAATTTTAGAATATCAACATTCCAGAAATTTCTCTAAGCCATCTGATCAGAACAACTGTCTCTGAATTTTACCTTACTTTGAAAGGTACAGGGTTATGTTAGAATTGAACTCAGAAGTTTTCAAAATAAACCCTAATTCTTAAAACTCTTCTATATTCAGACTAAAACAATTTTAATAAAACTTTCCTTTCTAGAAACAGTAATAAAGGAAACAAGGCATTTTGTAAAATGTGGTTCTAAACAAGTAATAGTAAAAAAATGTATACTTCTACCTCCTCAAAACAGAGGCTACTTTCTGTTTGTTCCTCAGCCTTGGAAATAAGGTGTCAGTCTATAAGTAAGTTTGGACAGGGGGTTGCCATAACCAAGCTCAAGTAGTTGATTATGGTCACTTCTTTAAAAGAATTTAGGGAAACTGTGCTTTGTTGAGTGGCACTGAGGACCTCTTTTGCTAAACTAGTGCTCCAGGTATTTTTGTTTGAAAAATCTATCATAGTGGATCACAGCTGTTTACTGATGAGCAGAAGAGAAAGATCTGCTTGTGGCTAGCAGGAAGTTTTAAGGTCTTTCAAGTTGTATTTTAAAAAGGACCTGCAGGGATCCCTGGGTGGCGCAGCGGTTTGGCGCCTGCCTTTGGCCCAGGGCGCGATCCTGGAGACCCGGGATCGAATCCCACGTCGGGCTCCCGGTGCATGGAGCCTGCTTCTCCCTCTGCCTGTGTATCTGCCTCTCTCTCTCTCTCTCTCTCTGTGACTATCATAAATAAAAAATAAAAATAAAAAAAATTAAAAAAAAATAAAGCTTTTAAAAAAAAAATAAAAATAAAAAGGACCTGCAGAAATGTGTAAATGTTCTCAGGATGCGAAGTTGGAGCTGAAATGTGCTATCAAACCAGCTGCAAAAAGTATATGGCAGCCATCTCTTCAGGTAAAACCTGGTACCCAGATATGTTAGAAAGCTTCAGAACAGGCTTCAGGAAAGCTTCAGGCTTATCGGTCTTGTCCCATATGTTTACATAATCTGATCATGTATGGAGCTGGGCAGAGGGGCAGGTGCTTCCATTTTGGGGAAGCCACTGAGGGTCCCAGGGACCAGGAATGACCAGGGCTGCAGCAGCTGCCCAACCTCTGGCTCCGCAGTGGAGCTCACAAGCCAACCAAGATTTATAAGATTTTATTAGATGCCAGACATTGCAGACTTTACATTGTTCATTGAAAAAAATATATATATTCCTTTCCTCTATATTCATATATATATATACATATATATATACACATATATATTTTTTCCTTTAAATTTGATTTTGCCTTGGATGTAGCTAACTCTGAATCTGTCTGATCCTTTCAAGGCTTGCTTATTTTTCTAAGGCTTGCTTTTAAACTTTCATTAAGGCAGTCTTTCATGTACAGCTAATTTTTCCCATTAGTGAGCCAATACTCTTCTTAGAATTCTACCTTATTATTCTGTAGTACTTTCATTTCCTACCTATATATTAGGAAGTCTTTGCACTCTGGCTAATGGAGACACAAACTATTGCTTTGGAAGTTGTTTCACCTATTTCTCTCTGGTTATTCTGTTCCTGGTCTTCATGGTTTTCTGTCTGACATGCATAGATCAATACTTAATCAAGGACTTGAGTGTACTTCTGCAAATCTCCAGAGCACTATATCTGTGTGGCTACCTCTTCTCTGATAATATGCTTCACGTATTATAGCTGCTTTGGCCTCTCCACACTCTAAACTCTGTCTACTTACTCACCAAGACATTCCATGTGTTTGGATTCCCCCTCACTGCACTCACTTTTCCCACCAGTAAGCTGGGACACTCCCTTTTTTTCTTCTTTCAGGGATTACTGTTCTGCACTGATTGTTACTTAATGTTTGAAAACCAAGTGTTTCATATATTTTTCCCAATTTTTAGTTTTTGAGGCTAAAAGGCAAAATGTATTTCTATTATTTCATCAAAGATGGAAGCTGAAATTTTTTTCTCTGGAATTTTGTCCTGCTGATTCCTTCTTATCTTGTCAGAGCTTTGATTCTTTTAAGGATTTAAAAAAATATTTCATCCAGTTTGTTTAATTTTTTTAATGAGAAATTTGGTTCAAATAGCCTGGCTATCATTATTAGAAATGGAACTGGTGGGGATCCCTGGGTGGCGCAGCGGTTTGGCGCCTGCCTTTGGCCCAGGACGCGATCCTGGAGACCCGGGATTGAATCCCACGTCGGGCTCCCGCTGCATGGAGCCTGCTTCTCTGCCTGTGTCTCTGCCTCTCTCTCTCTGTATGACTATCATAAATAAATAAAAAAATTTAAAAAAAGAAATGGAACTGCTTATGGTCTTTCCAATTAGAAAGTAAAATAGAAAAAAAATATTCTATGATATTTTTATAAAAGGGGGCAGTAGGGTCAGAGGAGGTGGATAATGTTGTGGTTAATCAAAAGGATAAAATAAGGAATCCAGAACATATAATAAGTAGGCCTGGGTAGAATTCCCAGACATGGCCCAGTTTTGCATGTTATGGATGCTAGATGGTAAGTTACTAATAGACAATTAGGTAGGATTATTATAGAGAAAATGATGTAATAAATTGAAAGAAGACAGTTGTGGTAAGTTTTTTTTTTTAATTTTCACCTAGATATTCTACATTTCCTCATTTCTTTACACTGTCAATTACATCTGGTATCTGTACAAAGAGCTGAAGATTAGACACAACCAGAGTGGACAGAGCACATTTCCACTGGTAAGTTTTATTTAGAGCTAATAGTTAACAACAGTGTGCTAAAACAAATCCATGTTCTTGATAAATGGTGTAATCATTCAGCACTGGGTACGTGAATGCATGCAGGTTAATGAAAGAAAAATCATGTGCTCACAGAGCTTCCATTCTGTTGAAAAGATTTCCTCTTCTTTCCTGCCATCAAAAAAATACAAAGGTTTTGATTATAGGAAACATTATTTACGGTATTGTTATTACTGCCTGGTTCCATCCATCTTAGCTCTATGCTAAACTTCATAGTTACTAAAGAATAAGAGTCAGGAAGGAACACAGTGCTCAAATGGGATTTGGGCTACAGTTTTGGAAAGGAAGAGTGTCTGTTTTTCTCTGCTGTATTTCTTCAGCACATGTGGATAACAGATACTGGTTTGCAGAAAGGCAGAGGGGTTAAAGTGTGGTAATCAGAAAACAAGATGGATCCAGGGAGTAGCTGTCTTCCTTCTTTGGTTCAAAGAGAATTTGGGACACTGTATAGTATTACACTTGACAGCAGAGAGGAGAACACTAAGTACCTCTGGATTTTTTGTGTATGTGTACATATTTGCATATCACATAATTTATTTTAAGTTACCATTCAATGGTTTCTAAAGCAGACTTAACTAGCTTTTACAGTAATATCATAAATCAGTTCCAGAACATTTTCTTCACCCTAATCAAATCCTTCATGTCTATTTATTATTAATTTCTTGCTCTCCCTTCTGCACTAGGCAACTGCTAATCTACTTTCTGATTCTATAGATTTTCCTTTTCTGGACATTTCATTTATAGTCTCATGTATCTGATTGATTCCAATTAGCATCATGCTTTTGAAGTTTATCCATTATAGCATGTATAAGTAGTTCATTATTTTTTATTGCTGAATAGTATGCAATTGTATATACACTCAGTTTCTTTCTGATTCTTTTTTAGTATATCACTGAATGATCTTGGTAGAAAACATTTTTATTATGTTAGCAGTTTTATTTCTTTCTTTGGCTGTCATAATATATTTTAATCTTATTATATAAATCTTACTAAATATCCCTGTTTTTTTTACTTCTACAGTGTCCATTCTGTTGTGGGTTTGTTTTTAAAGATTTTATCTTTAAGTATTCTGAACACCCAACATGGGACTTGAACCTACAACCCCGAGGTCAAGAGTTGCATGCTCCAGTGACTGAGCCAGCCAGGCACCCCGGTTGTGGTTTTTTTAAAGGGGAATTTTTATTTAAGAGTGACATGGAGTAAATGAATCTGGAAAACTTCTCCACCTACCTTTTTCTAGGGCCTACAGATCAGTTCTAGACCAAATGAAAGTGATATATTATCATACACATGATGAAATTCAATAAAAATTTGAATAGAAACTGGATGGTATTATGCTGAGCGAAATAAGTCAAAGAAAGACAATTATCATTTGGTTTTACTCATCTGTGGAATATAAGAAACAGCTCAGAGGATCATAGGGAAAGGGAAGGAAAACTGAAAGGGAGGTAATAGAGAGGGAAACAAACCATGAGAGACTCTTAACTATAATAGGGAACAAACTGAAGGTTGCTAGAGGGGAGGTGGATGGAGGGATGGAGTAATGGAGTAATGGGCATTAAGGAGAGTACATGATGTGATGAGCACTGAGTGTTATACGCAACTGATGAATTAATGAACTCTACATCTGAAACTAATGATGTACGATATGTTGTCCAATTGAATTTAAATTTAAAAAATTGTTGAACGAGTAAATGGTACTATAGCATTGTGAAAAGATATTTGAAGGTAAATCAAGGAATCTGTCTTCTTCTAGACACAGTTCTGTCACTTATCTCCTATCTGATATGGGGCATATTGTCTCCCTTTCTTGGGCATCAGTTTTCATTATAAAATGAAGTGTTGGTCTATGTGATCTTTAATGTCCCTTATAGCTCTAAAATGCTGTGATACTCTAAATCATCTGACTGACTTCTAAAGAAGATATGCTTCTTGCTTGTTTCTAGCCTTGTTCTAGATATATATTGTTGGAAAAGATAAGGAGCAGAGAATGCTTTGAAAACTTCTCTCTCTCCTTTTTTTTTCTTTTTTTTTTTTTTTTGCTGAAAGGAAAATGGGCAATAAGGAAATCATTGAAAAATTAATGCAAATGATCTCCCTTAGTTAGCATCCTGAACAAGATGTTATAGTCTGTCCAAGCACACTGTTCAATAGAACTTTCTGCAATGATCACAATATTTCATTCACTGTCCAGTTTAGTAACAACTAGCCATGTGTGGCTGTTGAGCACTTGAAATGTAGCTGGTGTGACCGAGAAGCTGAATTTTTAATTTTATTTAATTAATTTAACCACATTTAGCTAGTGGCTATCACATTGTATAACACAGGACTATATTCTGGTGTTTTTTTCTCGTTTACCTCTGGAGAGCCAACACTTATAATTACTTTTCTATATTTTAAACTTGTAGAGTTTCTCAGCTTCCTACAATTTATTAATGGCTATATATATATATATATATATATATATATATATATATATATATATCCTTTTATATGTTTGCCTACATGATCCTAGAATCCTAGAGCTGGAAGATACTACAAAAAAACTGTTCATTTCACTCCCTCAAGGAGATCAATGTCTAAAAAAATTCAACAGCCTTATATGGCTAGTATTTCAAGTTTCTATTCATTCACTCACAAGCTCTAAGAGACTGGAATTTGGGAGATGTTATTTGGCTACAGAGTCATTCTCTAAAGAAGTTACCATGATGAGACCAAAAGCCAAGAATGGGAAAAACATGAGGAGATATTTTTCTGAGCCTTGAGGAAAACAAATTAATCTTTGAAGGAAGGGGAGGGAGGGACATAAGATTAACTCTCATATATGGCATTCTACTGTTTCCTTTGCATAGAAATGCACATACTGTACTTTACAACCCATGCTATCGTTCCAAGAAGACAGACTCTAACCCCAAATTTTAACCTCACTGCCTTTTATTCTGTCATCATAGCTTTATATCAGGAATCTTGAAATTTTTTTTTTCATTTTGAGTTCTCTTAAATATCCTAGCAAGGGGATCCCTGGGTGGCGCAGCGGTTTGGCGCCTGCCTTTGGCCCAGGGCGCGATCCTGGAGACCCGGGATCGAATCCCATGTCGGGCTCCCGGTGCATGGAGCCTGCTTCTCTCTCTGCCTGTGTCTCTGCCTCTCTCTCTGTGTGTGACTATCATAAAAAAATAAAAAATAAAAAAATAAATATCCTAGCAAGACTTGTGCCCTAAACTATTATCAGTAAGGTGTTTTGTTTTTTTTTTTTTTAATCAGAAATTCACTGACAGCAAGGTAAGAACGAGAATTAAACACAGGTTAGCCTGAGGATAGAATAGACATCTAGAGGATAGAATAAAAAGAGATGAAGGGATGTAGGTGGAAGAGGTCACCAAAGATGAATTTTACTTTTTTCGCATTTTATTTGAGTCAGCAGTGGCTATCTTACTTGAAATCATTTGCTGTTCCTGATCCATAGTTTTTAGGGCAAATCAGTTACCCACCTCTGATTATTGATTAATTGCTCACTTAATGCTTATTGATTCCTGACAATGCCATTCTAGAATATAATATAAACTCTTACCTCAGAACAGAAAAAACTTATTTTCTATTCTATTCTCACTTTAAAGTGTTCTGTTCAAAGTCTTATACCATAAACTTCCAGTGGATAGATAACATTCTTCTGTAAGCTATTTTTCAGTGTCTAACATAGCTGGGGGGTTTGGAATGTTCTTTCTTCTAGAGTCTCATGGGTATTATTTCCAAGAGGCTTATATAACCCTTCTCTATTATGCTAGTCCTGGCTTATTAAGCTTTCTGCTGGTCATCTTATACATAGACTGCTACTCCACCCATAAGGTCGGAAAAGTCCACACTTCCCTGGATCTAAAAGAGCATAGATTGAACCATTAATAGAACAGGGAGGAGTCCTACTTACCTTTATTCTTAAGAGAATTTATTGTGATATCCAAGTCTTACTTTAGGGTACTTTCCACAGGCTCTCTTTGTGGCTGTTGTATGTTTTAGAATATAGTAATACAGATAAAATTCTCTTGTCTCCCATGCTAAGGAACTATCTATTTTTTAAGATTTTATTTATTTATTCATGAAAGACACACAGAGAGGCAGAGACACAGAGAGAGAAGCAGGCTCTGTGCAGGGAGTCTGATGCAGAACTCGATCTTGGGACCCCAGGATCACGCCCTGGGCTGAAGGGAGGTGCTCAACCTGCTGAGCCACCCAGGCATCCCAGGAATTATCTATTTATTTGAATTTTGTAGTAAATATTGTTTGACAGAAGCAAGGTGGCTCTTGGGGATTTTTGTTTATTCAGGTGGTATGTGATGACCTGATATTTATTATATTATGATTGACAATATTCTAAGACTTTACTAGTATTTATTCTTTTCACAGGTTATAGATTATACTTGTCACATTGGTCAAATAGCCATCATTTTGTCAAGGTAAGGTTTTTGCTTTCCATTCTAGAAAGGTGTAAACTCATTATTATGGTCCAGGTGGGAACAAATAGGAGGACAGTGCCTTTTATTTCCATTGAGTCTATCACTTCTAGGTCCTCACAGAGCCTGAGTTGGAAGCAACAAACATAGGATCATTGGTACCATATTCCCAGATAGAAAAAGCAAGCAGTTTGAAGTTACAGATTTGTATTTTAGCCTTAATTCTGCCATTAACTCTATGTGACCTTCAACAAATATTTCCCTTTAAGTTTTTGGACTTCTAATCCCTTTTTATATCATAAAGAGTTATAGCAGATGGCTTTCAAGATCTCATCCACCTTTATAACACATTGGGTGAGAGTCTTAGAAGTATTTACCCCCCAAAGGGTCTGGATCTCATCTAAAGTAGTAGTCATATCAGAGTTGATGTTAAGAGTTTGTAACTTTTATTTCTGGGTCCTTTCATCTTATAGGGACCTGGCTATATTTAGCTAGATAAATAATGGATTATTTAAATGTATACCTTGAGAAAGCTCCCAGGAAGGGGCTGATGAAAATGAAGCTATTCCTGGTTGTCATAGAATGTTAGCACAGAACTCCTTGTTAGATTTTTCCTTTCACTTTGACCCACACCCAAAGACTGTCTGTTAGGGTTCATTAATTTAGATATGAAATGCATTCTCCACTCCATTTACCTAGCAGTTGGACAAGAAGTATACATAAAGTTTTTGAGGCACTTTTCTTGAAGAAATTAAATGTGTGTGTGGGGGGTGTATTTGTGGAGAGTGGAGGGGTGATGGAATTGAGAGAAGAACAGAGTATTTTATGAAGGGGAAAGAGCATAAAAATATCTGAATATTAGGTTGATATTTTTTTCCTCCCAGCCTGATACCTCTGCTGTTGATGATACCTGTATTCTGTCTGGGCAATATCAGTGAATGTTTCCACAACTTCAGCCAGAGCCACAGGTAAGCAAGGATCAAATCTATCATTTTAATGGTAGACTACACCTTTTCTTTTTTATATAGAGATATGGAAAAGACTTTCTACATATATTCTGGCCAAGTTGTTTGTATTTGGAACAAGGTAATGTGGAAATTTGGTGTAGTCTATAAAACAAGGTATAATCAAGTCAAAAAATACATAAGTAGAAATATAATGCAAAGTGACTGGAAGATAATGTGTATATGAGAAGGAATAAGGTATTATGGGCAAGGGTTGGCAAAATGCTAAGTAAAATTTGCATACTTATTAAATTTTGTTGTACCAAATAGTTATCTCTAGTATCTCTCTAGTCTTGTATCCGTAGTAGTACTCTTGTCCATTGATTCTCTTCCTAGGTGTATTCTGATGTATTCACCATCAGCCATGGCTGAACTGCCTTCTGCCAACACATCAGTCTGTAGTGCACTTTATTTTTATGGGATCACCATTTTCCTGACCAGCTTTCTCCTCAGCCTTCTCACCATTGTGGTATGGTGCCACCTGCCTTTCTAGAAAAAGGGGATTTGGAGGGATAGGGCAATATTTCCAGGGCCTGGGAAAAATGGGATGGAGAGACATTTCCTAAAGTCCCAGAACTAAGAAGGTAGCTAAGAGATATTGATAGTTTAATTACTACCTCAGTATTTGGGCTTCCCAAAATTAAACGATTAGTGGGGAAAGAGTCTATATTCACTAGGTGAGAATTATGCTCACCCTAGAACTAATTAATATATGTTCCTGTGGATCCTCATGGAAGACCACACCAGAAAACTAGTATATATCAAGTATACCCTTTATACAGGCTAACACTCCAGAGCACAGGAAATATGCTTTGATTTAATTTGATAATTTTCCAAATAATGAAGAAGGTTTCTTTTCTCAATCCTTTACTAGCCATACGTGCATTTATGCTATGTCTAACTGGGGTTAAAGTGGCTTAGGCATTTACTAAATACTCATTTGACATCATCAGAATGATGTACAGTTAAAATAATTTGCCGTGGAACAGTATGTTATTTACACATAAATGCATAGTACAAAATCAGCACACAAGCGAATATGCCTTTTTATTTGCCATATCTACTTTTCAGTGTCATTTTCTCCTCTCTTCGCATGCTAGTTCAAGTATTACAAACTGCCTGCAGACCAGATTTATCCCACAGATATGTTTTGTTTTGGTGGCACAGCTGGCACATGTGTACCAAATAAATTTATGGAGTATTTCCTTTGACAACTTAAAAATAAGTTACAGAGATAGCTTGGCTCAAATCAGCATCTTTGTAAAGAGGGTGAAATGAATAGTTTATATTAGGATGGTTTTGATGTTCTACTGAATGACAAGAGAGGCAGGTATCTCAGAGCCTCACCTGGTGATTCTTGTTTGCCTCTTTATTTTTTTTTAAAGATTTTATTTATTTATTCCACGAGAAACACAGGGAGAGATAGAGGCAGAGACACAGGCAGAGGGAGAAGCCGGCCTCATGCAGGGAGCCTGACGTGGGACTTGATTCTGGATCTCCAGGATCACACCCTGGGCTGAAGGCAGCACTAAACCACTGAGCCACCAGGGCTGTCCTTTGTTTGCCTCTTTAAATAACTGAAGCTTCGGGTGCCTGGATGGCTCATTTGGTTAAGTGTCTGCCTTCAGCTCAGGTCATGATCTCAGGGTCCTAGGATCAAGCCCCAGAGTTGGACTCCTGGCTCAGCAAGGAGTCTGCTTCTCCCTCTCCCTCAGCCCCTCCCCCCTGCTCATGCTCCCATGCTCTTTCTCTCTCAAATAAATAAAATCTTAAAAAAAAAAAAACAAAAAACTCAAGCTTCAGTGGGCATTTAGAATCAGAACTGATTCTACTAGACATAAATATTCCCAAATAAGTAAAAGCCTCCTTTTGATTTCTATGTATGTAGGGAAAGGAAATTACATGGCTAAATTTAATTAAATAATTGGCTTATTAACTTAGAAAATGGGTCTAGATTATTAGGGAAAATTTTAGATTTGTTACCAAGATTTGTACCAAGATTATTGCCTAATTTATTCCCCTAAAAAGTTTGTTGGACTTCTGAACTGATTTATATATTTTTTTCATTAATTTAACCTTATTTGAATAGCCCCCAAATGGAAGGGGAAAACTATCTATTTTCCATCTAAAGTCAAAAAGAGACTTCTTAAAACTTCTTTTGCTTAGAGTTGAGAATTTAAGCTCAGCCATGGTGCTAAAGTGTTTCTTTAAAGAATTTTTTTTAAGATTGATTGATTGATGATAGAGAGAGAGAGAGAGAGGCAGAGACACAGGAGGAGGGAGAAGCAGGCTCCATGCCGGGAGCCCGATGCGGGACTCGATCCCAGGACTCCAGGATCACGCCCTGGGCCAAAGGCAGGCGCTAAACCGCTGAGCCACCCAGAGATCCCCTAAAGTATTTCTTTTAAGGGTATTAAGCACAGAATACTTTCTAACACAATCTCTAGTAAAGTGTTTTTAAAAAGGGTCTGGTTAGATCTTAGCTTTGACTTCCCATACATTCTGTGATTAGCCTCATTTAGGAAAAAAAAAGCCTGAGAGTTGATGTAAAGTTTATGTATTGAACATGGTAACCACAGGTTTGGCTATCTGTCCATTTCCCTTGGGCAAGCAAAAAGTTGACTCTGAAGATTATTTTCTTTCAGAAAAAGCCAGTCTTTGATGGCAAAGACAGGAGAATGAATTTTTCTGCTCTCAGATCCTGAGAGAAGTGATCCCTCTACAACAATAGGAAGCTAGAGCTGGGAAGTTTGGCCAGGCCTTAGGCAAACTACTCACTGCTGTACCCATGTTTAGGTCTTACTTATCCAAGCCCAGACTCTGTATAAGAAGTTTGTAAAATCAACTGGCTTCCTGGGGAGTGAACAGTGGGCAATGATTCATATTGTGGAGCAGCGAGTTCGCTTCTACCCAGTGGCTTTCTTTTGCTGCTGGGGTCCAGGTAGGTATCTTAAGGGAAAGAGCCAGGTAATGATGAGGGCACCTACTGGGTTCAGATCAAGCAAAATGGTCTCACCAAGAAGGATGACTGCAATTTATAAAATTCCTGTCCAGCTGTAAAATCTGTATTGGTCCCACTTTCTTCTTTTTCTTCCTGTGTTTTAGACATTAAGGTAATTGGACATGAAATGAAACCTAAGAGAGGAAACATCCTAATAGAACTCAGAGGTATTAACACCTGTCCTTTGTACTACACAAAATGTAGTGAGGATCAGATAATGCTTATGAAAGAGCTTGATAAATTCTGAAATGCTAAGAAGTGCAACTTATCTTCCCATAGTGTGTCTTATCATCATTGCTACACTAATAACCTGCAAAGTTTAGTCAATGAGGAATAGAAGTTGTAGACCGAAGGCCCAGTGGTTTATGTAACTGATTAATCTCATTCTTAGTCTTTATTATGCCTATAGCTTTATTTCTCACAGTATGTAGGCATGTATACTCGGGAATTTTATGCTCAAACAGGTGTGGCTGGCAAGAAGATTTATACTTTGTGTTTTCACAGTTGTCATTCTGATGATCATAAAGCTAACTAAGCCACAGGACATGAAGCTTCACATGGCCCTCTGTGTTCTCCAGGTAACACCTTCAACATCTTTTCTCACACCCTCTTGTCCTGTTCTCTTATACTGCCATTATGCAGTAAGCACAGTATTTTCCCTTAGCATATTTATTTCTGTGTTGCAGAAGAGAAAATGTATTATGTGTATTCAGTTATGAAGAATGTGAAATTTTCCTCACAGATGAAGCAGATACTTTTGTGAAAGTGCTGCCATGCATTCCAGAGCATATGTATCTCTAGTTAACTTCATCTTATTGGTGTTATTTTTAGGGATGGGTAACAAAAAGACAAGATCTACCAGATAATGTTTTTTATGAAACACTGATAGTGCTGATTTTCTCCCACTCAGGATGAGTTGAATGGGATAAATTAGCTATTCTAGGTAAATGGGGTGAGAGGAATACAGAAATAGAATGATTCTCACTTTACCTCTTTCATCAGACTTAAGGTTTTTTTGGATTATCTGACTATACTGATTGGGCATTGTTCTCAAGCCTCGCCTGGGAAATGGCAGTAATAAGGAAGAGCATTGAAACCAGTTCGTTTCCTTTATGTATATGCTAAGAAATATGACCAGGTCTCAGTCATCCATAACAAGGTACACTGTGAAGAGTAAGTTCAGGAAGAGCTAGACAAATATAAAAAACTGACACCAGATCTTGATGTTTGAGATATAGGAGATATAACAATGCTTTATAAATAAGGGGAACGGGTACTATTCCCTTGATCTTTGAAAATCTGAAGGATGGGTTCCATCACTTCATCTCCTCCAGGCTCTAACAGCATCATCCCAGGGTCTGCTCAACTGTGGAGTATATGGCTGGACCCAGTACAAGTTCTACCAACTAAAGCAAAAGGCTCGGCGTGATGCAGACACTCAAACACCATTATTATGCTCACAGAAGAGATTCTATAGCAGGGGCCTAGATACAATGGAGTCTACCCTTACTTTTGCTACTAGCCCTCCACCGTCCTTTGAAACTGTAATACTGGAACATCCAGGTACTGGAATTACTCCACTCTAATGGACTGAGAAGAGTGTTGGGGAATAACATCTCAAGTCTTTTCCAACCATGCCTTAAACTATGGAAGTGAAAGAGGATGTAGTGCTGTGGTTAGTAGCTTTTCTTCTTGATTTGAGCAGGGCCTCTCTGTTATTCTCAGATTCATTAGTGATTCTTAAAAGTCTTTGTTCAGGGAGGTGAAGTCGCTGTCCTTCTAGGAGATAGACTCCTGTCACCTCAGTGAATACTAGATTTGTTTAAATCTCTTCTAGATAAGTTCCAGGTTATTATTTATATGTGCCATTTCCAGGTTCTCTACTCCATGGTTGTGGGGTAAGTAGGGTGGCACGCAGTCATATTTTGCCAGTATTGTTATTCCCTTTGAGGCTGGACAAAGAAAGTCTTACGTTTCTGTTCTTTGAAGAGTTTTTGAAACTCAGAAGAAAGTAGAACAGTAACTACCAAAAAACTGATGGTGGGATCCTCAGGCACACCCTAGTCTCTTATTTGTTCAGTACTGTTCTAAGTCTTGACAGTAGGGACTATCTGCTCTAGGAAATTAAGGCCAATCTTGTGAAGTTACAGGGGATAATAATATTTATAAGAAATCAGGATTAAAAGAAATTTTAGGTGTCAAAAACTCTCACCTCTCATTTATAAGCAGAAATCTAAAGGTAGGTTTCATAGTGCCTGGGTATAGAATTAGGTTGGACCATATGAAATTACCATTTTTTGTAGGTGAAAATGGCCTAATACCATCAATTTTACATGGTTTAACGTACTGGTAAGTGCTCAATATATATTTATAGCATAAATGAATGAATAAGTGAATGAATGGCTAGTAAGTAGAATTTGAACATTTTGGGAAAGAAAAGATTCCCAGACTGCAGAGCCTCGTTCAACAGTAGAAATGTCTAATCCATTTCTTCTTCTCCTCCTCCTTCTCCTCCTCCTCCTCCTCCTTTTAAAAAGATTTTATTTATTTATTTGAGAGAGAGTGAGAGCAGGCAGGGAGTGGAGCAGAGGGAGAAGGACCAGTAGACTTTGCACTGAGCATGGAGCTTGACACAGGACTCAATACCAGCACCCTGAGATCATGACCTGAGCTGAAACCAAGAGTCAGACACTTAACTAGCTGAGCCACCCAGGTACCCCTTTCCTTCTTTAATCAAACAACAAGTGATGTTTGTCCTCTCCAGTTATGAACAAAGCCATGAGATGCCTGGGTGGCTCAGTGGTTGAGCATCTGTGTTTGGCTCAGGACATAATCCTGGAGTCCGGGATTGAGTCCCACATCGGGCTCCCTGTGAGGAGCCTGCTTCTCCCTCTGCCTATGCCTCTGCCTCTCTCTGTGTGTCTCTCATGAATAAATAAATCTAAAAAAGAAAAGTTATGAACAAAGCCAATCTGCTGAGGCCAGAGCAATAGATACTATGATGCAAAAATGAAGAGGAAAGCCAAGTAGACAAAGTGACTAGAATGAGAATCATCTAAAACACCTGGAGCTAGTAATGAGATACTTCTCATCTGGGATCCCTGGGTGGCGCAGCGGTTTAGCGCCTGCCTTTGGCCCAGGGCGCCATCCTGGAGACCTGGGATTGAGTCCCACGTCGGGCTCCCGGTGCATGGAGCCTGCTTCTCCCTCTGCCTGTGTCTCTGCCTCTCTCTCTCTCTCTCTCTCTCTCTCTCTCTCTCTCTCAGTGTGTGTGTGACTATCATAAATAAATTTAAAAAAAAGATACTTCTCATCTGACATACTCCTTTGATCTAAGGAAAAATCCTTAAGATTAGAGCAGATTGACAGAATAGATTACAATGGATGCTCTGAATCACAAGTTCCAGAGATCATTTTGAAGGAACTCTCTGTAGAAATGTTAGGGTGCTCAGTAATAGCTCTTTAAGTTCAAGGTCATAAACTTCAGCCTTTCTATGGAGGATGAACTCTCCTTGTTATGTCAAGATCACATCTTGAGGCCTCTCATTGCCCCGTATCTCTGGAAACCTGATTTTTGGATGGCACAGAACAAGAAAGATTGCTTCATATAAGGAGCTGCTTTAAGTTCTTTTAATTTAAAATGAATAATTATTCAACATTTGGAGAGACAGATGGAAAAAAGGAAGAATTCCTATTTCCCTAGAACTTGAGGGACACCAGAGCTACAGAGTCCAGTCCAATTCTTAAACATTTCTTTTAGTGGGGTGCCTGGGTGGCTCAGTTGGGCGTCTGACTCTTGATTTCTGCTCAGGTCATGATCTCCACATGGAGGAATTGAGCCCTACATCAAGCTTCATGCTCAGTGAGGGGTGTGCTTCTCCCTCTCCCTCTATGCTTTCTTTCTCTCTCTCCCTTTCCCTCTCTCTCAAATAAATAAACTAAATCTTAAAAAAAAAGTCCTTCTAGTGTGACTTCATATTCAGCTTTATTACCAGAAAGGCGATTATCAAATGTTTGTCAGGTTTGTTAATCTTGCTTTGATGAATTTTTTGCAGTGACACTGCTGTTAGATCTTCAGTGGATGTAAGTAAAAAAAAAAAAAGATAATAGCAATGAGAAATAGTAAAAGGCTAGGCAAGATCCAGATTAGGATTATTAGCTTTTTGTCATACTGAGAGTCAGAGGGAACATGTAGAGTTGGGCCACTATTCAAACTGTCCCTATAACCCTTTGATTCACATGTAGGAGGGGTATAGATGTAGACACAGTGACATTCTTAAAATTTTTGTGAATACCCCTCCATGACATTTGTCCAGGTTGTAGTCATAGTGGAGTGGAGTGGTATCTAAGCAGGTTTGATTAATATGGATCTTCTGTAGACCACGTCGGGTACCATCCTTCATCTTCTCATCAGTTCTGTCTATGGCTTTACAAAACTCTGCACTCCAATACTACATGTCCTACATGGGGAACTGGGTAAGCGTTTGATGTTTTTCAGTTCAGTCAACAGCCTTTCACACTTTGTGTCTTTGGCCTTGCACTTACTAAAGATGTTAGTCATCCCTTTAGATTGACTGCCACAGTTTCCAAACCTGCCCCCTTTGGTATCTATGTAATGATACCAGCTTTCCAGGTAACCTTTGTGCCCTTTCCAAAAATTTTAACACACTGATGCTTCAGCATCAGCCCTGGTAACAGTAACCTTGTTCTTTGTAAGGAGTGCCATCTTGTTTGTAGGTACCTGTCTGGCATCACCTGGAGATGCCATTACAGTGTTCACAGGTCACACTCATCTACTCTGAGGCAGCAGGTTTAGAAATTTTCAGGTTTTGTAGAAGGATCCCAGATGTACAATCTGAATCTTTCTTCAGCTGGCGTGAGGGCAGACAATAGTGATCCTTTTAATATTCAAGGACACTCACAATCACATTTTTTTCCTTTCCTAGTGTCTTTTTTTCCCCTTTACAATATGACTTTCCAAGGGAGTGCCAGAGCTCAGGTTTGTTAAAAGGTAGTCTCTGTGCTTATGCAATTGCTAGTAGAAGTAGTCAGAGCTAACAATTGCTGAAGTCCATTTGACAGTAAGAAATTCATGCATAGGACAGAGGTTCTGGCAATGACACTTGTAGGTCACATAGTCATGCTTTGTTCCCAAGTTTTGGCCAAGCTCATAAGCCATAAAAGCTGCGAAATGTGGTATCTTTTCATGACAAAAAGATTCAACACTGGTTGAATTCTTAGCAGTACAGATACCATTAAGAAATGCATGACTCTGACTCTAGTACCTCCCAAGATTTTGGCTAATGATCATATGAGCAACATTATGCTTCACCCTTCTCAAAAGATTCCAGTCTCTCTAGCAGTTAAAATTTTGAAGTATTTCTTGCAAATTCAGGAAGATTTTCACTAAATTTCTCTCTGTCCATATCTTCAACCCAATAAGTAATATTGTCACACTTAATTCCTTCATGTACCTGTTAACAGGAATATCCATTACCATCTGTTTGTCTTGGTGACATTATTATTCCACATTTGGAACTGCAAATTGTCAACCACAATAAACATTGCTGCATAGTTGGAGAGTGGCCACATAAGGTTGTTGAAACCGAGGAGGGTTCTATTTTTCTCTGAAATTGTGAAGTGATTAAGAACTCCTCTTGTTTATCTCCACTCACTGCACAAGACTAACCAGATTTTAAAGATATGATGAAAAATATATGCCCCAAATTCTTTGAAGTATATTTAGACTTGATGCCAAAGACAGTGTCCTGTAAAGTCAGGACTCCCTTTGTAGCCCTGAGCAAGTGCTGATAGTCAAAAGAGAATGCAAGTCACCCCCTGAACATACAGTTGTCCTGAATAAAAAGGATGTCCAACCCAGTATCCCATTTTGATGTGTATAAACAGGGAATTTCTTGATAAATAATCCTTTCTTTTTCTTCAATTTAATAATAGGCCATTTTCCTTGTATGAGCAGGATATAGGACACTTTTTCTGCTTTTTCTTCCAGTCCTTTGAATATTATCAAGTTGCTAAGGATGCCTGTTTTATAATAAGGAGATTTTCATTTATAATGCATTCCTTGAAGAATAGTTACTATTAGCAATACAATTATATGCAACTCAGTATAGGAAGGGCTCATTCTCAAATGCCCCATTCAGGAATTCCTGGAAGAAAAATCATGCTAAACCTTACTTGTGACCATTTGATTTCATAGAAGGAAGGGCAGAAGGGAGGCAAAGTAACTAGGGTTGTCATTGTCATGGCCCAGTTGAAACAGCTGATAGTCTTGCACCCATGTCTCAGTTGCCTTCCCTGAGATCCAAATCTTTGCCAGTGACACAGTTGTTTAGCTAAAGCTCAAAGCTTTGCTGCCTGTTGCAAGGATAACTGCTTCTACCTGAGAGTTATATGATATCTGTCGTTTGACTGTGGTTCTTTCTACTCCTGTTGTGCTCTCTCTTCTCAGAGTGTCCTTACTTTGCAACCTTCATCAAAGCACAACAGTGTTAGTGCCTCTAAACTGGTTCCTGCTGTATTCATAGAGGAGTATACCAAAGAGA